GTGAAGATGAGCAACCAAAGCCATGGTGATATGATGAATTTGAAGAGAAGAAACTTTGTGAAAATGGCATCCTTCAATGGATAAGTCCAACTAACAAGTTGCTAAACCCAACCAGATATCATGACATGGGATAGATCACAGTAAATGGAAGGGTTTCAGAGAATAAAAAGTTGGGAACATGAAGCCTGAAAGGAGGCAGGATGTTCCAGATAACACAAGAAGGGAACTGGACAAAGAAGCTGATCAGGAATGGCATGGGAGTACTGATGGGAGATGGAAGGTGAAGAAAAGGTTGTGAAAACCAAACAGCCTTCATGGGCAGCATAGGTCTGAGGGAGGAAGGACTGGTCAGGATATAGGATGACGTAAGAGGAATGATAAAGGAAGCGGGTAACAGTAAAAACATAAATATTTGATCTGTGACATCTGCAAGAAGGAAGAGGGAAACAGGTCTTGAGGGACAGATGGTAGATGGAACATGAAAACAAAGGTTCAAATGGAGGATGGAAAAGGAACAAAGGACCACATTGAGAATGCAGTCAGGCAAAGCAAAGAAATGTGAGTGATGCATGACTTGAAAGGAGTGAAAAAAAAAGGAGGGAAATAACAGAGGAAGACAAAACCTAGAGACACAGAAGGTGATGGACAAGGGCACCTGACAGCTAGACATATTCAAAGTGGACAAGCCTTTGTCAAACAATCAGGTGAAGAATTTGGGAAGATGAAGAAAAGAAGGGTGGGAAGGATGAAAACCACGTCAAAGAGACCAAAGGTGGAAAGTATACCATCATCTGTGGTAAATGGACATGGAAGAAGGTCTAATGGATCAAGTAAGGAAAGATGCACACTGAGAAAGCAATCAGACAAAGCAAAGAAATGTGGGGGATGCATGATTTGAAAGAAGCAAAAAAAAAGGAGGGAAATGACAGGGGAAGACAAAACCTGGAGACATGGAAGGTGGTCGACAAGGGACCTGATAGCTAGAAGTAGTCGAAGTGGACAAGCCTCTTACAAAAAATCAGATGAAGAAAAGATGAGTGGGAAGGATGAAACTATGCCAAAGAGACCAAAGGTGAAAGGTATACCATCACCTGTGGTAAATGGACATGGAAGGTCTAATGGATCAAGTAAGGAAAGATGCAACACGCGGCATCAGTCCGCAAGTTCAGACAATGGACCTGACAAAAGCCATGTGTGTGTGGTGACGTTTGGATGAACAATGTCTGACCGAAGTTGACAGAATAGGGACTGAGATAGAGGTAATGATAGAAAATGTACAAATAAAGATTGGAGCAGTGGAAATGATATATGCATCGGCTAATACTAAGCCACCAGTAAGATGAGACACAGAGTGGTTTGGAATAGGGATAAGCACAGATGTGAAGACCCCTTCAATCTTGAAAGAACATGACCATCCCCAAAGTTAGCTGGTGTAGAACAGGAGATCAAAGAGAATGAAGTTTGGTGTCAAGAGCATATATGAGGTGTCCCTAAATGAAAACACACCCACCTAAAAACCTGTGGTTTGAGGGACCACTCTGTAAGGAGAATCTTGTTTGGAGGAGATAATTTATCAACAATCAGATTAAGGAAGCCTGGAAAATGGCAAGCTAAGACCATAATATGGTGACTGTGGCTCCTGAAAGAAAATCCAGGATCTGAAAGCACAGAGACATGGAATTGGTACTCCTTGATCTGTGATATAAGTGACCACTGTGGAGATGTCAGAATGTACCATAATTACCACCCCCCATAGGAAAGAAAGGAAGTGAAACAAAGCTTGATGGACCACCAAAGAATGGTAATATGGAGAGAAGACTCTTTGATCAACCAGAGATTAGAAATCTCCCAGGATTTGAGGTAAGAACCTTAACCCTCTAGATATGAGTCCATGAAGATATATAAATCCGGACAAAGTAGAGTAAGCAGCACCCCTGCCTTGGTCTGTTCTATGTCTAACCACCAAGCCAGGTTGGCTTTGATTGGTGAAGAGTAATCTAAGAGATCTGAGAAGTTCCATGGAAAACCCGTATCCCCAAAAAGAGAAAGTAAGAGCTGTAAGAAATGTGAGGTGATGGACTTGTGAACTGGCTGCTCCAAACACAAAGAGGAGAAGACTAGGCCTGACTGAGGTTGGAATGAAGAAAACACCTCAAATGAACAGGGTAGTGAGTGGGAGTAAAAACAGACATCCCCACTGTCACCACCCTTGCTGCTTCTTGTAGGAACAGATGAGTGTAGTCACTGGACTGTAAATGGGAAGAAGCAAACAGGAACCAGTCATCCATAAAAAAGAATAGTGCAAAGACTCAGAGACTTAGAGTAATAAATAACTATAGACAAAGTGGGCAGTGTGTGGAAGAACCCTGATTTGTAGATTACAAGGAGAAAATGAGGTTTCTAGTATCACGAACATAGGAAAAGGAGCCAAAGCAAAGCTCAGCCCTATGAATTGGAAGGAAACAAATACTTCAGTGATGTAACAAAGCACAAAAAGTCATATCCTACACTGACATAAATTAGGATGACAAGATACACAGTTAATAATGGCGATAAAAATTTACTCAGCTAGAACAATGAATAATATATATATTACTAATAGTAATATGTAATGTACTAGCTGTCAAACATACCTAGTTAACAAAGTCTTTATAAATATCAAACGGATAAACCATCTAAATGTACTTAGCTTGCATGTTCATTATTATTATTACATATTTTGTGGTCTAACTAGAATTACCTAGAAAACATATTAATAATCAAATGTAATTTATAATTCATCTAAATAAACCTAGATGACAAAGGACACATAATTACGACTTACACTGACCAAACTTAAGATAAGGCACATAATTAACAATGGTGAAAAAACAATTATTCAGATAGAACAATGAATTAGATGTTACTAGTAATAATGATATGTTACTTACAAACTATCTCAACATACTTAGTTAAAGTGCTTATTAATAATGAACTAACAAACCCACAAAATTTTCCGATTCTACAAAGTACGTAATATTAATGAACTTGCAAAACAATTAAATTTACCTAAAAAAATAATAATTAATATTTAACTTACAATTCATCTAAAGTATCCCAGATGACAAAGAACACACTAAGAACTAACTTACCAAAGTCCAAGCACCAATGACATGAAAAACTCAATTCTCCAGTGTGTAAATAAGAAAAAAGCCACACAAAGGACATATGAGCCTCCCCTACCACAGATATATCAAGGTGTGAAATGTACCTGTCAAAAAACTTACCAGAGAGCCCATGGAAGAACTGGAAAAAATAAAAAGAATGGAGGAGAAGAACAATCCTCTACCAAAGTGAATGACATAGTGGCAGTGCAACTGGTGGAAGGTGAAAACTCCTGAAGAGGTGTAGAGTGTGACAGAGGAAAATAAGAAGGTGCTTGAAAAAAGCATCCAAATTGTCTTTTTACTGATTGTGATCTTCCTCACAAACATTCTCGCATTGAAAAGAAGAAGAAATCACTGGCCAAACATATGAATCTAGCTCCTTGTGGATTAAAGCCTGTACCTCCTCTGCAGATAAAGTTGAACCCAATTCCTGGGAAGTCATACCATTAGCATTTTTGACTTCAACAGTAATTTCTGTAGTTGATACACTGATCACAAATTCACACACATAAATCAGTAACAGGAGATACAAAAAAAATTACTGAAACAAGTGAATGCAAATACAGTAAAATAAAACTGTGGGAAACACATTTGAAATGGCAAAGATGCACATCTATAAATGGTAGCCATATACGAAAAACATATGTACATGTTGAAAAATGGCACAAAATTGATGGGGTATATAGACTGGTGCACTGAGTGCAAACATTTTTAGTAATGTTTAGAGGGCAGATATAACATCAAGATAGCTTTGTGTGAGTTAAGGTGAGACCATATCGTAAGCAAATCCTCAGAACAGTTACAATTTAATTGTATACAATAAAGATTTTGTTTCCTATTTTGCTGACCATCTAAAGATCTCCTCCCCATTCCTTATTGTTCCTGGCTTGTCTATCTTTACACACGTGGAGACTGTAAGGCCTCCTATATTGGCAAAACCAAATGCCATTTAAAAGTCAGAGCCTATGAACATATGGGAATTTCCATAAAAATGCAAAAAAAATTGAGTAAACCCTGCATTTCCTCTATACGCCAACATAGTGAAAAAACAGGACATCAACCTATACTATTAAATTTCTCTGTCCTCTGCTAGTCTAATACTGACTTGGAATTACTGATTAAAGAAACCCTCCACATGAAACAGCACTCTCCAACACTGAAAAACATGCAGTCTTCATTTAAATTATATATTTTTTAATATGTTCATATTACTGATTTTACCCTTTTTTTGTTGTGTTTTCTTGCTGTAGTTTCTCCCCATGATTACTGTTTTGTGTTTTATTTGTTTAATTATCATTATATTTAGCAAATGTACTTTGACAATGTCCAAAGACTTATGTAAATTTATTTTATTTTATTTTGCTTTAGATACTGAAGATGGAATCTGATAGAATTCCAAAACATTTATCTATGTCCCCTTTTTGTCAACAAACAATGTTGTATATCATAACTGTCGTAATCTTGTTTATTATCAAACTTCGTTTTCCTTCAAACACATCAATTGCTAACATGTATGCAATTTTGAGATATTTGACACGTGTTGACTCCAGATTTTACCTGTATATCAATAAGGATTCAGTTTAAGTACATAAAATTGTACATATATTTGCTGAAAATTATATACATGTATACATCACAAAAGAAAGGTCTAACTCCATAAAGCTTATGCTTTTTAAATTAGAACATTTAAAAATAAACATTGTTTAATCCTTTTGTTTTGTACACTTTCTCTATATCTTCTTAACAAAGACAATATCTGAATACAAGACGAAAATACAGTAGTTTTATATTATGTTTTATTAATTTCTTAAAATGGTTACAGAAGTAATTCAAAGTACTAAAGAACAAGCCTACCCATCTTTGTCCTCATAAAGCTCTTTCAAATTGCTAGTACATTCCATGTATCTCTGTAAATAAAGCATGTAAAGCATTAAATATTTGTAAGTACATTTTCAATAACACACTCTTGTTCAGTTTTAATTACAGAAAACTTGAATTTGTTACATAATTTACAACTGAACAATTCATTTTAAGTATATTTTTAAGTCAGATATATAGCTACAAACAAAATAGTTTTCCAGATTTCTAAGAAGTTGAATAATTTAATTATTTTATGTTTCCAAGCTGAACATACTCATGAAAAGGTATTTTCTAAGCAACATAAAAGTGAAAAGATTATACTTAGAAACAATTCAGAAGCAAAAACAAAAATAAGCTTGAACTTAGGCTTATGTAGTATTTGAACTAACTGAATATTTCAAATGACCATCTTAAATATTGTTTAAAATAAAATAGGACTCTAAAAATATAGAATTTTTTAAAAAGTTTTAATACTTTAAAAGTAACTTTAATCTGAAATAAAAACAGGGAAGAAACTTACATCAATTACAAATTGCAGCCTGTGGTCTGAATTAATTTGTTCTCTATTCTGAAATAAAAAAAAATTAATTCTATTACTCTTTTTATAATATATTATCCCTCATTTCCACTCCTCCTTCTTCAAAACTTAGCAAAATCACTAATGAATAAAAAGCACACTTCAGATAGCCTAGTTGCTTTGCTCCAAAAAATGCCAAACAAACAACCGTCATTTTAAAATAACCATTACATTCCTTAAATCTGAATAACAAATTTTGCCAGTTTTTCACTATTAAGACTCCAATACTTGTGTAAAACAAATAAAAAAGTTTACTTACTTTATTGGTTTCTTTCCTGAAACTTTAATTATCCATATGCAACTTAATTTGTTTTTTGCAATGAAAATAGATATTTGTGAGCATCCTTCCTATGATAACACATAATTTAACTTGCTATACAACCCCATCTGTATATTGTCAATAACAACCTCAATTACCTTAAAGGTCATAAATTGATACACACATGTTAGTAATCAAGACCCAGATGAAATTATTCTGGAGATCCCTCAATATTCACTATTGGCTAGTCCCAGAATGCATCACTTAGGTTTATCAGCTATGAATGTCTACCTCAATAAATACAACTAGACAACACTTGTTATTGAAAACTGATATATATTTTGTCATTTTATAAATATAAATGGAAATAACTCTTGTCTGGATAAATTTCTTCAAGACAGAATGTAAGTAGTTGTTAATTTACATAAATTATAGCCTCAACGTTTAATAGGGAATACACCCATCTGACCATGCTTCTGTACATTTCTATACTTGGGGTTTGGGGGTTACAGATGTTTGTAGAGAATAAGTATTGCTAGAAATTATCTCCAGTTTAATATGTATAATAAGAATGATCACTGATGCTGGCAATCTGGGATTGTGAGATATTACAATAGAACTTTGGTCTGATTTAACAGTGCTGTAGACACTACTCCGGTATCTTATCTAATGTTTTCTCTCCTGCTCCAGCAGACAATTCTTGATGACATATATGTGTAATAAATATTCAATTTTTGATTTGAACATATACGAGGCCTGTGAGAAAAGTATCCGACCTTTG